GATTGGTTCGCAATAAGACATGTCTCGTCAAAGAAGGCGAACCTTTGCTTTTATTTTCAAACAGTGATGGCATCCGAGGACTTATGATTAATACCAACCAATACTTTCCTGTTTATAACTCTTTGACACAAACAGTTGGAATCGATTACTTCGGCACCGAAGACCGGGTATATTGGGTTGATTTGGATAAGACTCACTCCGGAGTATATTCTGTCAGACTTTCGGGAAAAGATTTTAAGGCCGTTCACACGACTGGTCTGAAAAGTCCTGAAGATCTGGCCATCGATTGGATGGGAGGAAATATATATATAACGGACGCCGAACTTAACAAAATAGTTGTCTGTAATATCGACGGAGAATTCTGTAATTCTGGACTCTTTGAAGAGTTGGATCTTCCGCGAGGTATTGTTGTCGAGCCCTCAGAGGGGCGCCTATTCTGGAGTGAATGGGGAAAAAGGCCGGGAATATACACCGCGGGAATGGATGGCTCTAATAAACGGCATCTGATTAGCGATGAAATTGTTTGGCCGAATGGACTGGCATTGGATGTCGTGTCGAATAGGCTCTACTGGTCTGAAGCTAAATACGGAAGAATCGAGTTCTTAGACTTGGAAACAAATCACAGACGGGTTGTACTTCAGGACAAGATTTTTCATCCATTTTCTTTGGCTGTATTTGAAGACTCCCTGTATTGGAGCGATTGGATCACCTATTCGTTGGATATGAGCAACAAATTCACGGGACATAATCAGACAACACTCGTCCGTGAAATGAATGAACACATAATGGGTGTCCATGTCTTTCATCCATTGGCCCAAAAGCTATCATACAATCCCTGTTTGTCGCATAAGTGTTCCCATATGTGTGTATTGGCTCCAAACAAGGGCTATACCTGTGTCTGTCCCGACCAACTCATACTCAGTAAAGACCGTAAGACCTGTCAACAAATGCCCGCAACGATTGCCACGACAACTACCGAAATGGTCACGTCTTCGCCTATTGTTCATAAAGATGTCATACAAGTGGTCACACGACAGCCCAAGAGCCGTATCTTTAATACTGAATCCAATACTAAAAGTAGTAATAAGAAGAGTTTGAAAGTTAAATCTGTCACTAAAGATGTCACTCCAGAAGTGACACGACATCCAGATATTAAAGCGTCTAATAGTGAGGCCGAGACTGATCCCAGTGTGAGTAATATGGGTTGGATTACATTATTGGTTGCCGTCATGATTGTTGCCATTATTGTACTCTTGATTACTGTTATTATCAAACGAGACGATTACAGGTAATAATGGGTTGCGAGACATATGCCAGACATTTATCATTTCTAAACCTCTAAATGTCTTGTATTACAGGGAAGTCCGAAATGTGCTCTACAGTCGAACGGATCAATTGAAATATGCGGTGAGTTTACAGAACCCGTTGTTTAGGAAAGCCTTCCGACGACAGGCCGACGAAGAGGAACCCCTAACTGAAGACAACAAGAGTTTGCACGAAGGAGACAAGTATTAAGCCATCAAAATGTGTATATATTTGTTGCTTATAATTTAAAAAATGTTTTTAATGTTTTAAATATTTATATTTTTTGTATTAATTTATAACAAGTAATTTAATTGTTAATAATAACCACTTTTATATAAACTTATTGATTATTTTATTTAAAAGACTTGAATTGATTTCAAATGAGAAGTTGAGAAATGTTATGAATTGAATGGATTGGAGTTTTATTAGTTGGAAAATAATATAATAGTTTTTAAATGTTTTTATTGGTTTCTTGTCCGATAAATTTCTAGATTTCAACAATATTTTCAATCAAAACTAAATAAGAGTGAATCAAATGAATAAAAATAAGTTCAAGTATTTTTAAATTATTTTTTATTTGAGTTTCTCCTATTTATTTTTTATTACTTGTGCTTTTCATACAGTATTTTCAAGTTTTCATCTCGTTTATAATAATGTCTACCATTTCTTTATAGTTAACAATATATTATTTTATATATCAATATATACTGCTATTTATTATATATTAAATTCAGCGTTAATTCACATTAAGATTGAAATCAATTTGAAAATCACGAAATGAAAATGTGATAAATGTATTGAAAAGTTTGATTGTTTAGATTATTTTCCCTCTTTATTACTTTGGTTTTTATAGTGCATTAGACATAAAACTTAATTAAATTTATTGTGTTTTAATTGTTTAACACTTGAGTAGAATTTAAGTCAACATTAATGTTAATATACATTAGTTTACATTGAGTTCTTGAGATGAGATATAAAGAGGGATATGTATAGAGAGGGATATAAGAGGTTCGCAAGAGGTTTTGTCATATGAGGTGGGAGTAGGTCTGTATATGTAACACAATTTCAATCTAATTAACAAAATGTCACATATATTCTGATAGGAGAGAGAGAGAGAGAGAGAGAGAGAGAGAGAGACTCTTGAGTACAGTATATAATGAATGATTGTTTTGAGACACAACTAAAGATAAATAATAAAAATTTCTACAAATACTAAGCCTTATTCCTTTTGAACTATACTTTACTTTTATATATAAAGTACTAAAAGTATAACAACAACAAAAATATTAAGATTTTTATTTTCTTATTTTCTGTTTATTTTGTATATACGAAGAAAAAATATTTATATATATATATATATATTGCTTATAATAATATTTTATGTAAACTAAACATTAAAAAACTGTGTTTTTGATTTTCATGTCTTTTACAATTCATGTGTTTGAAAACTCTTGTTCACTAACTTTGCGTACATTTGGTATTACAGGGCTTTTTGCGTATATATAAGCAATTCTTCCCACACGGAGATCCATCCAAATTCGCATCACTTGTCTTCAGGGTTTTCGATGAAAATAAAGTAAAAACACAAATTAAATTTCTATATATTTTTTATATAACTGTTCTGTAAAAATGTTTTATTTCTATCACCAATAGTTATGTACTAAATGTAAATATAAATTACTTTTGAACAACAAAAGCGATTAATATAATAGTATTTTCTGATTTTTATTTTTAGTCTTTCATTCAAAGGAATTTCAATTTCTATGTTTTTGACACTAAAAACATTTGAATTTAATTTAACTTTTTTTGTGTGAAAATCAAATTTTTACAACAAAATTGACAAAATCTGTTAAATTTAATGAGATTTTTTAGCATAAATTTTGCTTTAAATAAAATGTAAAGAAATAGCGTTTTATAAAACTTTATTATGTTTAGTCATTAATACTAATTTAAATGAAAACATTAATACACATAACATGTTGTGTTAGTCTATAAAAGAGTTTTAATGAATATTCTGCTCTCTTTCCCAATGAAAAGGACGGCTCAATAGAGTTTGAAGAGTTTATAAAAGCCCTGTCAGTGACTTCCAGAGGAAACTTAGAAGAAAAGCTCGTTTGTATGCAATTGTTTTACACATTATTTATCATAAATAACAATATTTTCTGTATAATTAATTATTGTAATGCATTCAAACTCACTCTAATTAATTTTTTACACTTTCGGCGTAAATGCCTTTTGTATTTATTGCAAACCACTATTACATGCTTTACTTACTATTATTATTATTTATATTTAAATAATAAATTTAGTTTTGATTTATAATCTTAAATATAAAATCCATACACTATTTGAGTGATTTGCTGGCAAAACAGAAAATAGCAATTCTTTGGTTTTTGGTTTCATATAGTTTTTTGTTTTGTTGCATGAATTGAATTAATAAATCATCCGTAAAATGATTTGCAATAAAGAAAAGGTTTCAATATTTCTTATTCTGTGATTACAATAATAATGAATAGAATAAATAAAATGTTTTAATGATTTGCTTTAAACAACAATTTATGCAAACATAAATGCAAACCAAAATTCAGTACATCTAACATATGTTACTTTGATTACATTGAATTAAAACCGCTGTTTTCTATATTACTTTATATATCAATGATCGCAAACGTTAGGGGCGTTCAAGTTATACGATGTGGACAATGACGGGTATAAATGGCAACGGATTTGTTTCGGAGATTTAATGATTAACTCAATCCTATGTTTAAACACAACACAGATATATAACGAGGGAAGAGATGTATAATATAGTCGACGCTATCTATCAAATGCTAGGAAATCAGGCGAAGATCGCTGAAGACGACGAGGAAAATCCGAAGGAGAGAGTGGACAGAATATTTGAACAGTTGGATAAAGTGAGCAACATTTTCAGTTTACTCTACTTTTTTCTCATTTGCTTATTTTAAACGCTCAACACATCTAATGGTTAAATACAATATAACTTTTGGAAGAAAAACTAAAGAGAATTACATATTGTGTGTGTGTTTTGTGTGTATGTCTGGTGTCATAACTGACAGCTCTTTTTTGAACATAATATCTAAAGCCCCAGTCGTATGAAAAACAACATGAATTCTCAGTGAATATACAGAATATATGTTTATAAGGGAAGAGAAGACGAGTATTGAAATAAATTCTATTAAAAAATATATTCTACTGAAGAAAACAGTAGAAAAATGTCAATAAAAGCATATTATTGTCGACAGAAAGAGAAATATAAGGATTAAGAATGAGATGAATGTTTTGTGAGGCGAATATAAGTTTTGAAAATTCAATATTTATTCAATTGACCGATACTTGACTTTAAGCCCGATATTAAGTCTATAAGAATTGCTAAAATCAAATAATAGACAAAAAGGGAAAGAAAGGAAAATTTTGCATTCAATAAGAGGTTTTTCATATTATATTAGTCGGAGGAGAGAGAGAGAGAGAGAGAGAGAGAGGTATTATAAGGCAGGTATCACAATGTAATTAAAAGTAAGGTTAGTATGTGTTAGTGTGAGATTGTATTGAAAGTATTATTTGTAACCAAAGCTCATATTAAGAGTCCTAATGATAAATGTGTGACAAAGTTGACAGAATTGTCCACAAATCATGTATATATACTGTATATATAAATGTGTGTTTCCATTGATATATCTGTTTATATGTGAGAATGAAGTCAATTGAGAAGACAATACATCTCATGATATATGAAGTGAATGAATGGTTTACAATATATGAAGTGATGTTATCTCAGGAATCTATTATTTGACACAATGTCTGTAAGTAAAGTGTTTTCCAAAATAAATTATACAATACATTGCAATGAAGAATAATATGTCTCTATTCAGAGAATACACTCTGACTTTTTCACAGAATATATAAATTTGGCTAAAAATAAAAATGCTTTTACAATAAGTAAGAATTCATTTATTATTTAAGCCATTATTCCGCTAATGGGAGGACTTTTAGGACTATTTTTATAATCAATGAAATGAATAATTAAAAAATGAGAAAAATATGAGTTTTTACTTTTGAGACATTAACGTAAAATGTATTAACAAAAGTATACATGTAACATGTATGTATCACTAAAATTTAGTTTCCTTTCTAAAAATACCTGAAATTTTCCCCAAATGTATACATGATTTGAGTACAAGTTTTTATATAGTTTTAAATTAAGATTAATTGTGTTTTTTGTTTAAATTATTGAGTAGTATATCTAAAACCTGTATAATTTTAATATTGTGTGATTTATCGTAGAGAGCGAGAGAGAGAGAGAGAGAGAGAGAGAGAGAGAGAATGGTGTAATTTCTCACTATCTGTCCCGACATTAAAACGATAACATTTCCGAATTTGACAATTAATAATATTTTTAATGAAAACGACTATAAATAGAGTTGATTTAAAGTTAAAGTGTCCTTTTGATGACAATCAACAGAATCGCATAAATCATTGCATTTGTGAGCGTATTATATAATATTAAATTCAAAATCAATTCATTTCCATAGCGTTTGCAAATATGGCACCCATTTCTTCACGAATATTATACTGGAAATCATTGATTCTGCATATAATATAAGTGCAAAAAAAACTATTTATAATTTATTTATTCTTCTCTAGTCTACGGCTTAACGTAATAATACATGTTAGGGACAGATAGTGTAAAATTGCAGACAATTTTTTTGTTTGATAACATGAATATTATGTTATTGATTATGAAATTGTTTTGCTTTATTTTTATGTCATATATTTACAAAGAGAAAAGAGAGCTGCAGTTAATAATAATATAGTAAATACAGTGGACTCTCCACAAAAATTATTCATAAAACCCGATGTGAAGTGAATTATATAACTTATGAAAATCAGTGCGTTATATGATTATTGATTATACATTATATAGAAAGTAAGTAAATGAATGAATGAAAGAGAGAGAGAGAGAGAGAGAGAGAGAATAAAAATAAAAATGCTTTTACAATAAGTAAGAATTCATTTATTATTTAAGCCATTATTCCGCTAATGGGAGGACTTTTAGGACTATTTTTATAATCAATGAAATGAATAATTAAAAAATGAGAAAAAATATGAGTTTTTACTTTTGAGACATTAACGGAAAATGTATTAACAAAAGTATATGTATTACTAAAATTTAGTTTCCTTTCTAAAAATACCTGAAATTTTCCCCAAAATGTATACATGATTTGAGTACAAGTTTTTATATAGTTTT